AAAATAATTTCTTTTCCCGGGATCCCGGGAAATTCCGGGATGAGATAGTAAAATAGAATTTTATATGAATAAAAAAGATCATACAGGAATATCATAAATTTGAATAATTTAATTTATTTTCTAGTAAGTAACTAAAAGTGTAGGGCCAATCTCACCCATACCGACATGTTAGGCTCAAATAATTTATGTTCTCCTACATTATAAGATGAAAGTAAAATAAAGCGTTTCATTGGGAGTTTTAATGATTACAAAAAAAATACTAATTTATTTCTAAAGATGAAATAAAAAATACACTAAAGTGCGATGAGTGATACTTACTTTCAGTGAGTGCTCTGCTGTTCAATGATAGATTCTGTTCAATGATCTGCTGTTCAATACATAGATATTACATGAACTAACAAATAGAGACTTGTAAAACATAGGTAATAATATGCAGCATGAAACCTCAAAATTTCTCTCTTAGGTGAGTCTTCAAGCTGCAACTTTTCGTATAATAAATAATAGAAAGAAAACCTGACATGATAAATTATTATTGAAATGCGAGATTTCCCGGGATTTTTCTCGTAGGGAATAAACGGCGGGAATCCCGGGAAAGAAACCCTAACTGACACGCTTACAGTAGACCCCCTATAACGCAGTAGATACGTTCCACTTTTTATGAAATTCATGTTGTACGAGTCACTTAAATACATGAGCCAATCACAGCCCTGCACGTGTGCAGTTTAGGGACTATGGCTGTTTGAAAGGTTTTCTTCCATAAAATTAATCGATTCTAGACTAATTTGACTCAACATTTCCAAAACACACATAATTTTTTGAAAATAATCCATATAAACTATGCTACAAACAAAAAATTGTAGGATTACTTACTGAGTGTGCACCATTCGATGACGCCATTGCTTAAGCTTGTTTTTGTTGCAGAGCGGCTCATCGAACGGCGGGCGCGTGTTTCCTGATAAGTTATTTTTCTGCAAAAAATTCGCTGAACTTTCGAGACATCATTAATAAAAATATAATTTTTATGGCCGTTGAATAATAAATGTTTTTCAGTAGGTCCAGTTCTCGTTTAATCTCAACGGTTTGTGCAATATCTGCTATTGGTCCAGATTTGACCAATCCTGCTGCAACACTAGTCGGCGATGATATTTTACCGTGTTATACGAGTCTCTTTTAGCGTGTCAATGAACACAATTGCAATTTTTTCACCGTGTTATATGAACCCGTATTATAGGGAGGTCTACTGTATTTAATTTTTGTCTTGTTTTGGTTGCTATGCCTTGATTCTGGTCCAGCATAGTACATAGAAACTGGTGTCAACTGAGTATAACTCACTAAACCCAACATATAAGTGAAATATATAAAGTTTTTAACTTCACATTATTTAGAGTTTTAAATATTACTAGAGCAATAGATGTTAAGTCAAAAAGTAACTTAAGTACCACATTCAATTATCCAAAATTATTGGCTTCCAACTTATCTATATATTTGTATAATAAATATTATATACAATATATTTATACGACATATAAAAGTTTATTACAGTCGACCCCCCTATAATTACGGTCCCAATAATTACGATTCCTATAAAACTACGAAAAAATTGCTACTGGTATCTGTAAAAAATAGTAAAAGTTCCCTATAAACACCTCAAACGTCATCGGGCAGCCGAACTACTTTCCCACCGTCCGTAGCGCCATGCTACGGAGAGATTTCTATCGTCTGGACAGTATTATATAAATTATATATAAATTAGGTACTGTATATATAATTATATATTAACTTATTGTAACTTTGTTATAATTAAATATATAATTTCCGCCGTCTAGCGTGGCGCCACGCAACGGAGATTTTTACGCTAACTATCGTCTGTCAGTATGTAANATAAAAATTTGTAAAAGCTAATAATGAATAAAATTACCATTAAGTCCAACTGTACTCAAGATATGACATACGATTTTCCTTTAACTACCAAAATCTTTTAGCATCAATCCTCTAATACATAAACTTCCCTACAAAATTTCAGACATTTTCAACATAAAACACAGGAGATATTAAGCTTCAAAGAGGGTAACAAATTGTATCACACACACTCACTCACTAACATCCATTCATACAGAAAAACCTGTAAATTTTTTTGCATTTCTCAACATTTTAAGATCCCAAGACGAAAATATTAAAACCTTGGGGGGGGGTCTTATTTGAACCAATAGCCATACTTTCCTCTGTTGTATATAACAGTAGTAAAAACTGTTTATAATTTTATATAAATTTTCCTATTTTATCAAACTTACACAAAACTCTGCAATGATAAATTGATAATAGGAGGGCATGCAGTACCTCTAGTGGAAAAAATTACAAAATTGGTGACAAGGAATGGGGCATAATGAGAAGGCTTATTTATTCTTTGTAGGCTATGGTATATACAGAGTGCATACATGTGCATTCGAAATAGCAAGCAATGCATGATACACTTTGTGAAATATTGTAAATTTTCCTAAGTGCCAAGATAGATTTTAAGTAAGAGTTGCCAAGCTATTGTACAAATCAGTTTCTCACAATGTAAGCAAATTTGAAATTTTCTATTATATGAACAACTTTTAATTTCTTTTTTTGTAATTTAAAGAAATCCTTACCTTCTGCAAATAATTTCTTTCCAGCTTCTGTTTCTTTCTCATCATCAGGAAGCATTAGATACTTGTGGAATTCTTTAAATCCTATTGACTGGAAGATGCCGTAAGTGTAATCCGGCAGACTAATAATTAGAAGAATCACATTTATTTTTGTAACAAAATGAAGTAACTTACAGAAACATTCTTACATGTTATTGGATGTAGTATAATTTCTGTAGTCTTTGTAAAAACCCTGAATTTCCTCGATCAGTCCCATTTTAATCATGTCATCCACACGGGAATCCAGGCGCTCGTTCAAAACTGACAGTTTATACGTTAAGTAAACATGACAGACAATCGGATAAAGTAATGATAATTAGACTTTACCATTCTGTTTGCACTGTATAAATAAAATGCAAGTATTCTTAAATCTCAGTGGTCCCCCATAACAGCTACTTCCGCTTTCGGTTTTCTGTTCTTCTAAAAGTTGGCTGTGGGTGACACCCTGCTGTTGGTAAATTTGAAGACTTCTATAATTAAAAATTTACAACTTAGTAATACATAAATACTGTAATAAATGCAACAAATATAAATTATAATACAATCAAATGTTGGGTTTTGAACACCATATTTGTCCCAGTTGCTATACAATAATTCTGTTGTCGAACAAGCTACTTGACAAGAGCTGACCAAGATTAAGAGACACAGATGGTCAAATCCCTGTACTTCCCTGTGCCAAAGAAAGTTGATGGCTGACCAATCAACAATGAAACTACCAATTCAGAAGTTAGTGGCCATGTTTCATTAGACATCATGACATGAACCATTGACAATGTTGTTATTCAAATTAGATTTCAATGCACATGCGAGTAAGATACTACTTCCATTTAATGGTACATGTCACAACTGAATTTAAATCAAATTATTTAATAAAAACACCATTAATTGACATTTGCATAATACAAATGACATCCACAAATCTGTGCTAAATGTGCTTGACTCAAATTAAATAACAAAAAATTTATATATATAATATTAATATTTATTAATACTAGGTAGCCAGTTAATTAAAACTAAAAATAATAATTTAAACTGATCTTTACACCAAAACCGAAACTAAAAATAAAATTGAAATCAAATCAATTGAAATATGATTTCAAAAAGTGTGGATAAGGTACTTGTCAGACTTGATAGACTGACTGGATTATTTTTCATCTTGGCAGAGTTAAGTCTCTTTTATAGCACTTCTTTGTAAAGTGTTAGTTTCAGGTTTCAGTTGGAAGTGACAAAACATTTTTCTTTTAATAAATATAGGTATAGATATAAATAAATTAATATTATATTTCTTTTATAGTCATTTATGCATAAAATAGAGCTAAAAAAATAAAAATAAAAATAGTTATGTTTTGGAAATTGGAAATGGATGAATACATTTTACATTGTTTCTTATGGGAAAATTTGTTTTGGTTTGAGAACAACTTTTAGGAATGAATTAAGTTCATAAACCAAGGTGACTTTATTATAATATTTAGAAATATCATCAATTGAGAAAGTGATGATGTTTTATGTACATTTCACAGAAATAGAAATATAACCGACCAATCAAAAGAATTCATATACTGAAAGTCTGAAGACAGTCATGCAAAACTTGCTGTATAATGTACAATGATATATTTTTAAAAAACACTAATGTTATTTTAAATAATAAAATCATTGTACAGTTTAAATATACTTTTCCAACTTGTTTCCCTTTTAATATAAAATTATTCCATAAAAAACAAACGATCAAAAACACTAGTGATTAAGCAAAAATTACCATGTAGAATGAAATATGCAATGTTTTGTTCCTATATTACAGGGTGTTTCAATGAGTATCAGCAATTTTTCCTGGAATATCTCTTGACACATTCACTAGATGGCACTGAAAGTCTCAGATTCTCGTGAGACAAAAGTAACATGTGTAGAATTGGTTTAACCACTGACTCATTAGTTTGAAATGGAGCTGTATTCCAATGTAGAAAGTTTCATTCATGAAAATTTGGTATTTACTGGGTTAAAACCCTAAGATATGTTAAGAACACTTAAGGTTTTCACCCAAATACCAATTTATCATGAAAATGTGTGAATGGTACTTCAAGAATTGTCGTAAGCTGTTTTGGGGTACTGTGATTGCTTTGATAAAAAAATTGAAAGAACTGGCAATAAGACTGATGACATGGCAAGGATGGCAACAAAACAGAAAATGGCAAGGCTGCTGGAAAACAGTGAAGTATTTCATAAGGCCATGCGGGTAGACTCATTCATATACTGAAAGTCCAAAGACACAGTCATGCATAAACTAGCAGTGCTTACAACACTAGTAGGCAGAGCTCTAACCCACTCCTTGTTAAAAATCGACAAAAACACAGAATTTCAGAAAATTAAGAATACAGTCAACTCTCATGATTCCCTGATAATACAATAGATAATATTATCAAAGCCTATTACAGAAAACAGACAAGGAAAGGTTTAAGAATAAAAAGGCTCAGACAAGGCTGTTCATAGCTGATGAGACAATAATTTAGCAGAATAACTGTGTTTTTGTTTGGTTCATTGTCACTTTTGCCCCTCTTCAGTCTGTTACATAGGTTGTATCTTGTGGATACAACCTATGTAACAGACTGAAGAGGGTGAAAGCCCGAAACACAGGATTAAAAGGATACTTGGATACAGGATTAAAAGGATACCACTATATGGATTAAAGTTGATGGTGAAATTATTTGCCAAGTGTCAATAAATTCACCAAGTCCTGACATTGAACCAAACAAAAACAAGAAGAAAAAGAAGACACAGTTTCGACAAATAAATAAAACAAGAATAACTGTGTGTTAAATGTTTTGGACTCAGAAGAGTAAAAAGTTATCAGTTATGACTATTCTTCGTAGTGACGAGGACAAAGAGCTTTTAAAATTGGAAGTATATGCACTAAAAGCTTTCTAAAAAATGGGAAGAAATTCTTATAAATTATAAATCAGATCCATTAAATGACCACTTTCAGTTAGAATAAAGAAGCATTTTAGATCAACTAATTCTGATTCTAATACTCTGGTTGCACAATGGGCATGTGATTGGGAAGTTAGAGTATTCTAAGATTTCCCTGTTCTTTTAAAAGAACCAGAAGGAACATTTGATTAAGTTTATTGAACAAAATTTACATTTATTGCCTTTCTAAGTCTTTAAATGTTATCAACAGTAATGACATAATAGCACATAACTAAGCTTGAAAGTTTGTTTTAGACTGCATAGACTGCACACCATTAGTAAATAAATTGTTAGCGTAAGTAGTAAGTGATTAGTACATGTTTAATTGCATGTAATCTCAACCAGCACACTTTGAGAATAAAATTCATACATCATGATATATTTATTCTTTTTCAAATTCAAAAATTGTTATTTTCAGCTCTTGATCCATTCAATGTTCTAAAAGTTTGTAAGGGGCCATCCATAAATTATGTAAGGTATTTTGAGGTGGGTGGGGGGGTCACGGATTTCTTACAATTTTTACTCGGGTAGGAAGTAATAGATCTCATCTTACGTAATATTCTTATTTTTTGATCTCATTGAGTGGTGGCATTTTGAATCTGGCTTCAATTTGGCGATTTCTATTAAGAATGCTAGTTGTCTCGTGTGACGTGATAGAGTAATAATGCTAGCAGATTCACGCTATACCTATTTTTTGTAATGGGATAAAGGCCATGTGGTGGTTTCTCTCTCTCGTTTTTTATTAGAATAAGTGCACCACTCCTATGGATGTATAACACTAAGAATACATAAACCAAAATATATAATACAAAGTGAACATAAAGTTATTATTTGGCTTTTAGTGAAAACTAAAATGTAAAACTAGAAATTATAAATAGTCTTTTCTTCCATATTTTTTGAACATAATTGTAAAAAGCACGAAACAGTGATTTCTGAACAAGCTTATCGAGTGGATATGACCACCTGAAACCAAGCATAAAAATTTCTAATTTCAGAATAGATCTATCTTGATCATAAATTGGACAATGATAGATCATATGGTCCACAGTGTCTAGGTTTTCAGTAGAGCAAAAGCAAGAAGCAGTTTCTGCCTGGTTATACATCATAAGGAAGCTTCTAAAATTACCATGCTCAGTAAGTAGTTGAGCAGTAGGAAATGTTAAATCTCTAAGTGGTGATGAGAACCTACATTCAACACTAGGAAAATAAAGTCTTGTTATTCTACCAGTTTTACTGTTCAACTACTTTTACTGATTCCACTTTTGTATAGCATTGTCTTGAATATAATTTTAAGGCTGCTAGCCTATGTGAGAGAGGGATGCAAGTGTAGTCCAAATCAGTGTCCTTTGCAGCTGACTTAGCCTCAAAGTAGGCTTTTTCATTTTCTAGTATACCAGTATGGCCAAGAACAAATATAGAAGTTATCTTATTTACAAGATTTTTAATATGGTGCTGGATATATGCAATTTTATTGCTATTGCAATTGGGATTTAATAGAGCTTTCAGGACAGACTGAGAACCACTGTAAATGTTGATAGACAGTTTTGTTTGGTAGTGAAGTAGCCCACTGAACAGCTTGGTAGTCAGCATCTTCTTCAGCTTGATAGATGAAGGTATGTGGGAGGTATCTGTACCTTCTAACATATTTTTGGCAAAATATGTCAGTTTGGAGGAAGATACAGATACTTGAGCTGACAAGAAGGGAGCTTTTAGACCCATCTTGTAGATATTAATGTCTGCGTGGTTATCCATGGAGGAAGCAGATGACACCAAATAACCTTGTTTACAGGATGATGATCAAAGATTGTAGGGTAATTGCAATGTTGTAGCATATGAACAGCCATAGATAGGAGTAGAGATCATTGTTGAGCCTTGATGTTTGTAGTTCTGATGTAATAGTTTAGAACCTTTTCTACAATACATAGTGGCAAAGGACGAAGTTTCACTAGTATCAGAGGCATTAATAAAAACAGTTCTGCAGCACTTTGAAATTCTGACGGCAAACTGGCTTTGAAGAGAGATTAACTTACTTGCTACTGAATTTTTACCAGTTACATGACCACAGCCAGAGGCCTCATAGTAGTATTGGTTGCATTGCCCCATTTTACATGCTTTATTATTTAATCCCTAGGTGCACATAGCATATTTTAGCAGCATGTAGTTTACATCTTGGCTAAGGCCAAAAAAATAATCAATATGGCAATGGAATGTGGTTTCTCTCTATTCTCTCGTTTTATTTTGTATGATGTTTCTGTTTACATATGCACTATCTAGTTAATCTGGCAAAGTTTTTTGTGTCTTTTGTGAAAATTAAAATTAATATAAAAATAAATATTATGACATTATTATTATTAATCAATCAGATTGTTAATACAGTAGAGCATCGATTACTCGACCCCCCAATTAACCGTCACATCAGTTAACCAACCGTTATAGTTGGCAAATTTCAAATGTTCGCTAGTGATGTGGCGCTACAATATTTGGGTATGTCTTGGCTACTTTAATATTATTTTTGTTAAATTTTTGCATGTTTTAGCTGGCAACACTGGCTCAACCATGAAAGGGAGGCCAGTGTTTAAACGAGATTTAATTTTCTAATTATGAGTGGTTGTTTGTTTTGTGAGCAATAAAATAATTTAAAAATAATTTTTAACAATACAATAGCAACGATTATTATTATTTTTTAAAATTTTGTTATGTTTAACATCGACGAAAATTAAACGCGAAGTAGGTTAATAGCGATATACTAATATACTAATTATATGGGATATACTAATTTACTATACTAATGTATTTTTTTCATTCTTTTCAGTTATCCGACCAACCCGTATCCTCAACTGAGTTGGATAATTGATTTTTTAATTACAGTAGAGCATCAATTATCCAACTCAATTGGGGATGCGGGTTGGTCGGATAACTGAAAAAATCGGATAACCGAAAAGAATGAAAAAAATACATTAGTATAGTATATTAGTATATCCCATATAATTAGTATATCGCTATTAACCTACTTCACGTTTAATTTTCCTCGATGTTAAGCCTATCAATTTTTTTTTAAAATAATAATCGTTGCTATTGTATTGTTAAAAATTAGAAAATTAAGCCTCATTTAAATACTGGCTCCCTTTCATGGTCAATCCAGTGTTGCCAGCTAAAACACAAAAATAATATTAAAGTAGCCAAGACATAGCCAAATATTGTAGCACCACATCACTAGTGGACATTTGAATTTGCTGACTAGAATGCGGTCGGTTAACCAAGGTGACAGTTAATAATCGGGAGTCGGATAATTGATGCTCTACTGTAAAAACAAAATCACAATAGTGGTTATCAAATTATATCAAGCTGCAACTGACTCATATTAACATTTCAATACATATAGTGTCCTGATTTTTAAAATTATAAAACTCCTATTTGTATTATAATATTTTAAGTTTTTATTCAATATAAACAGAAATTTCAATAAATATCATAACTCTTAAAATGAATTTTATTTATTTTTGACATTTAAGTTTGAATAACTCAAAATAACTTTAAATCTTGAAACTGATATATAGAAAATATTTTTATAGCTTATCAATTCAAAACTTTTAGCAAATATATAAATAAACTGAAATAAAGGTTAATAAAGGTAAAATTAATTACAAAAATATTAGTGTATGATATGGTTTACTAAAAATAAATATTTATATAACTAACTAACTATATGACAATTTTAAAAATTAGTATTTATTCTATTTTGGATATGTAAAAAGTATTTTCATTAAAGAATTTTAACTCCTCCCTCTTGAAACATTTTTATATTGGAAAATTTATTTTGGAAAAATAGTCCACTTGAATTAAAAATAAACAATGATGGATATTCAATTCTTTGATAGATTTAAATGTGAAATGAAAATGTTGAGCCAGTACAGTCAATAAATAAAAATTAAATAAGACAGTACAGTCAAAAAATAAAAATTTGATGATAAAAAAAATTGTTCATGACAAGATTTAATTATACTAGATCTATAAAGTATTTGCTGCTAATAGTTATGATTTTAAGAGTTAATGTTTCATTCAATGAAATTAACATATATACATAGTAATTTAGTGGGTATTCAACCAAGTTTATCATTTACGTGATTTATATGTCAAGAAAAAAATGCTAGTGGTAAATATTTTCAGGCAACTAATCAAATATTTGTAAAAAGGTCTCAAAATAATTCCAATGTATTAAAATGCACCATTGTAAATATAACTGTTAAATACACTAAATACATTAAAAGTATCTATTTCTGTTGTTTTTTAATGTAAACAGCAAATTTTAGCTGAAAATATTTTATCCATGCCACAGAGAGAAAGAAAAATATTTGACAAAGAGTGAATAATGGCAATGTAATGTAAATTCTTCTAGGGTATTTGCAAAAAACTTCTTGCATGAAAATAAACATTAAAATTTGTTAATGAGGATTTCATCTTCAAATGCACATGTTTAGAACATGTTGATATTGATATTAGCAGCAGCAGCAGATTCATATTACTTTAGGTTAGTCAGATGGTTTGCCATTAGTTTATTTTTAATTCAAATAGACTAAATATAAAATTTTTTTATATGTATAAAATATTTTTTAATACTATATATGCTGACCAATAGGAATATTATCTGTAGTTTAGAANTGTGAATATTCTTCAGGAAGAACATAAGATCAGTCTCGAAGAACTTTGTCTCCAACTCAATACCGATGTGGAGTTTGTAAGTGTTTAAAGAGAATTCTTATATAATATTATGAATAAACTCATACATAATATTTCTTTCGCGTTTTATTTATTAATTATCTTAAGGAAACGTTCAAGTTTTCTAAAACTTTTTACATAGTAATTTTTTAACTATATGTTATAGGCTAATTCGTTTTAATTAGACATAACACTATATTAAAATGCCAAAAAGTTATTTAATGAAATCCAAAAATGTCAATTCAGAAAACCAGTTCTTTGTATGTACTTGTGTGTACCACGTTACTTCGGAATCAATTACTTTTAATAAGTGAAAGAAAACATTGAGAAACTCTCAGAAGGTTTTGCAATAAAAAGTTTACTTGGCCATTTATACGAGAAAAAGTTATACGAAAATGAATTATGTAAATGGAAAAAAAACTGGAAATTTTACTTTGAAAAAAGCATTAAAAATCTGTAATACATAAAAATTCAGAAAGTAAAATATAAAATTTAAATCCGTAAAAATTTTCAAGCACGTTATGGTAAATAATTCTAAATACAGTATATCGGTTTAATATATTTTCCAATTTAAATTTTCCGCAAGCTTAAATATTATCTCATTAAAATTTTTAATGGAAAAGAATGTATATATACAAACATATATATGTAAATTTCTCTTCGTAGTGTTTTTCATTGAAAAATTGCACAAACTTTAATTATATTCATAACTGATGACAAAGGATATTTAATTGCGTTCAATTAAAATTTACTTCCTTTAATTCATTCGTTAATGGTTCTGATATGCAGAAATCTTACAACAGATATTGCAAAATTTAAAATAAACATATTTTTTACAATTTATTTAATTAAGTAAACAAATTTGCGACAAAATCAGTTCCTTAAGATCATGTTTCTAATCTTTCCTAAGCATTGTTAAAATAAACCTGTTATTATTCAATTTTATAATAATTTATAATTTTTAGGGTTTGACTGAAGAAAAAGCCAAACAAATATTTTTACGAGATGGTCCTAATGCATTAACTCCACCAAAACAGACTCCAGAATGGGTAAAATTTTGTAAAACTCTCTTCGGTGGTTTTTCTATGTTGTTATGGATAGGCGCTATTCTATGCTTTATAGCTTATTCTATTCAGGCTTTATATAGCGAAGACCCCGAAATGGATAATGTGAGTGATATTTTAACATTCAAAATTTTATTACTTTAACCTCTAAATAACGATTAACATTCTGTATTCTGTATTTTAAGCTTTATTTAGGTCTAGTTTTAGCTATTGTGGTTATTGTAACGTCAGTTTTCTCCTATTATCAAGAATCTAAAAGTTCTAAAATTATGGAAAGTTTTAAGAATATGGTGCCTCAAGTAAGAAATATTCCTAAGAAATTTTTATAAATTTATAATTATTATTAACTTTATATGAATTTTAGTATGCTCTAGTAATCCGAGATGGGAAAAAATTAACCTTGCCAGCAGAAGAAGTGGTTGTTGGAGATCTCGTTGAGGTAAAAGGTGGCGATAGAATTCCTGCAGACATTAGAATTGTCTGTGCACAATCATTTAAAGTAGATAATTCATCACTGACTGGAGAGTCTGAACCGCAAACGAGAAATTCAGAGTGTACTCATGAAAATCCACTTGAAACGAAGAACATTGCATTCTTTTCAACAAACTGTGTCGAAGGTATCTTTATCTGTTAAATAACGCACCTAATTATCTGAAAATAATTTGAAAACTACGCAGTTATAAAAATGTAAACAATTTGAAAGCCGAGTTAAATGAGAAGTTTTGAAGAAATATGAGAATATGCATTTGAATTTTCTTAATTTCTTCAAAATTTTATAGAGTAATCTCTGCACTTACTCTCCCAATTTGATATACAAGTATGTTAACTTCCAAACGATTCTAAATATTTAAAAGCTTTGAGAAATTTGAATATAAACAAATAAATAAAAAATGTTAATACAACTAAGCCTTAACATTAAAATAGTCTTCAGTTATCAAGGAAACACCTAGAAAGCTTTACTGGACTGCAATTTTCAAATTGTAGACACACACATTTCCACCATTATCCATCTGTCTTTGTATGTCTGTCCTTCATTAATCTCAAGAACGGAATGAAATATGTGAAAATTCAGACCAGATATGTTCTGTAGGACCAGAGGTCCCAATCTGGATCAAAAGTCAGGTGAATTCAATTCAAAATTTTCTCAAGAACAGAATTAGATAGATGACCATCATGATTTGATTGTTATGAGGAGAAGTATGATGTACAGGAATAAGACACTACTAAATTTGATATCAGGTATGGAAAGCTTAGGGACCAATTAACTATATAATCTGACTTCCAGTCTGAAAGTCGGGTTATTTTTTTTTAATTAAATAATTAAAAATTGTAGACAGGCATTGTGATGATATCACAATAAACAATGGCTCATTTTCAAGTTTGTTTCTATTAATTTCACGATTAAATTATGAAATATTTAAACTGGTCATTTAAACAGTATTGCAAGTGATTAATTTTTTATTTTGTCTATAACTAATTTCATCTGTTTATGTAATTGTTTAAAAAAAACTTTAATTAGCTAATAAACATAAATTTTTTGTGGTTTTGAATAATCAAACTTAAACAGCCATAAAATAACCATAAACTAAACAGCATTGTTCAGTATATGATTATGTTCAGTTCATATACTAAACAACATATTAAAATTAAATATTTTGGGGCTATAAATTACACCATAATAAGATAGGACAAAGAACTCTAGTAACAAGCAGTTGATCATAAAATTAAGAAAATCAATTATTCAAATTACACTCACTATCCAATTAATCATTTAGTTTTGTACATGATTTATATTTTGAATACTTGTATTATGAATATGCAAGTAGGACTTGAAAAAAAATGGCATTATCATTCACTAAACCTTTCAAGTAATACATTTTCATAAATAATAATTTATTATTGATAAGTATTTATTTGATAGTTTTACTAACATTTGAAATTTTCATTTTTTCTTTTTCTTTTAGTAAAAATTTCATAATATAGCTATCTTCAAATTTATTAAATTTTGACACCATACTGTAAAAATTAGAAACATACTGCTTTTTGAAATAGCCAAATCTTTAACTATATGTAAGAAATATTTTAGGCCAGTTTCAGCTTATGTAGAATACTTGAAATTGAACTGAGATTCTGAACATCTGAAATCTAGGAACTTATTTATGTAAATTAAACTGATTAGTTACATAAAATAAACATTTTAAAGATTTAGCTAACTTAAAAAGCAGTTTGGTATTCTATTTCTTAATTTAGCTATTTTAAACCAGTTTTTCACTGATTTACTGATAATTCTTGTAATTCTGATAAAATAAAAAAGTTACACAATTTTTAAAATAAAAATCAAATACTTTAATTCATTAAATTTATTATGGAATCATAAAATAGAATTTATAAGATTGCCGTCTATGATTCTACAATGATTAAAACATGAAATTTATTTAGTTTTAAATTAACAACTTAATTATTAGTGTCTCTTAAGAAATATTTAATTCAAAGAAAACTACAGTATTTAAATTAAACTTCTTACTTTTTTGATTCTGGAATTTTAAAATATTCTATCAATATCTTAATAAAAATTAGTTTTAAATTCTGTAAAATTAAAGAATTTACCATCTCTTATATCGCCAGCTTCTATTTCATTGATTCCATTTGCATAACTATCTACACCTTCATTTTCTGACTGAGATTTTTTCATTTCTTGTCTTGTTTTCCAACCACGAACAAAATTATTAAGATTAGAACTAGGATCAGACATTCTCCTTTGCATGTATGGATTCTCCTGTAATAAATTATGGAAATTTATATATATTAATTGAAAATTTACAAAGAAAAAGTTTTTACAATTTGATTTATTTGAATAGATTTTTGTTTACAATATATTACTAAATCTTTTAGTTAATTGCATACTATATCTACACAAAATAACACTACACAATTGTACAAAACCAAAGTAAGTAAATCATGCATTTTATTATAAATTAGTCAAAGTACTGTGTTGCCCAGAGGTTATGATGATTTAATAATTGGATATAAAGTAGCCCCATTATATTGCATTTTGTCAGGAGCGAAAGAAAAACCATGAGATATCTTGTGATGCAATATAACAGAGTACTAAAAATTCTGGTCTTATACTAAACAGATTATACATGCTGTGAAATCTCTATCCTCTATTCTTTCATCAACAAGGGTTTCTGATATAAGCTTAGTTTTCCAACACTGAATTTTATTCATGATTATTTTGTATTTAATGATGTTTACGTAAACATCAATAAAACGAACGTCCATTTAGCATTATTGTTTCTTTAACAATGACATTTAAAGACAATTATTGTCAATATAAAAACAAAATATCAGTTGCAGTTTTATTATACATTACTATATTTCATAATAACTTGCTTATTAAAAATTTATGTAATTTATATTTTTAATAAAAAGTATAAAAATACAGTAATTGAAAACAAAAAATAAATATTGAACATAATATAACATCAAAACTTAAAATTATAGAGTAAAAATTCTCTAAAAAGCAAAATAAAGTTACTACATTTTAAAACTTTGTTCAAAAGTAAAGAAATCATTTCCTTACACATTACCAAGTAAATTTAAAATTTTACACCTTTATGTGAATTGACACAATACCATCAATTCACATAAAGGTGTAAAACTTTGAATTGGCAAAAACTTGTAAAGGAAGAGACTTAAAACTAGTAAATAAAATAACTAGTAAATAAAAATAAAAATATAAAAATATGTATAAATAATAATATGTTTCAAGCAATTTTTATATATTAAGTCGGTCATTATAATGATCTTTCTGTGTAAGATATCTGGATATCAAACAATTGTTGGATTTTACGGTTATTTTCGTATCATTTGCGAATCATAAAGGATTGCCTGTATTCATAAAGATCATTTTTCTTTTTAATTTGATATTCTTTGCCATCTGTTCCAATCATTGTATTTTATATGGTTCAAAATGATATTTTAAACATATAAAATACATATAACCATATATATATAATATATATATATNATACCTTGAATGTCCATTTAGCATTATTGTTTCTTTAACAATGACATTTAAAGACAAATATTGTCAATATAAAAACAAAATATCAGTTGCGATTTTATTATACAGTACTATATTTCATAATAAATCGCTTATTAAAAATTTATGTAATTTATATTTTTAATAAAAAGTATAAAAATACAGTAATTGAAAACAAAAAATAAATATTGAACATAATATAACATCAAAACTTAAAATTATAGAGTAAAAATTCTCTAAAAAGCAAAATAAAGTTACTACATTTTAAAACTTTGTTCAAAAGTAAAGAAATCATTTCCTTACACATTACCAAGTAAATTTAAAATTTTACACCTTTATGTGAATTGACACAATACCATCAATTCACATAAAGGTGTAAAACTTTGAATTGGCAAAAACTTGTAAAGGAAGAGACTTAAAACTAGTAAATAAAATAACTAGTAAATAAAAATAAAAATATAAAAATAAAATAAATAACTACTAATACTTAAAACTAATAAACAACTTTTAATATCAAAAAGAATAAATGATAATTGATCTGTCCACCTGTTCTGCTTATTTAGATCTTGACAAATTTATTGTTTCACTACAGTGGCAATTTCAAGGTAGAAATAAAATACAGTGGGTATTTTATCTCTACCATTCCAAGACCATGTTTGTTATCCGAATTGTTCGTTAACCAATTATCGATTTACCACAGATTTTTGTGGGAATTTGTTTAATTTGTTCTGGACTCACAAAAATAAAAAAATTATATACTTTCTTACTATGTTTATTTACATGTAATAACAAACTAAAAGCTATCTCTCCATTTTTTCATGGATGGCACATCTTTGTTTCTCAGATGCAATTTTCGTTACTCCTTTATCAGCTTGAGTCTTTTTGATTATATCTTTCTTAGCTAAGATTTAGCTATATTATAGACCTGTTGAAATCATCTGCTTACAATATCAGACATCTCTACCTTGGCTATTATCTCTTGCTTAGTTTCTATAGTGAACACAGTTCTTGACACTCCACACTTTTTAGGCCCCATAATAATATCAGTTTTTTAAATAAAAAGTTCAAAAAAGTACTGACAAAAATTCAGAGAACAGAAATTAACTAGTGCAAAAAAGGCTATGTGTACGACTGTGAAAGTCTTGTTCCATAAACCATATAGATGCCATTAAAAAACAGTTTTACAAATCTTAACTGCATTGCTTCTTGTGTTTGTTCTGTGAAGTGTTCCTTGTCCAAACAAAAATCTTTCACAAAAGTGCTCCTTGTCTGAACATAAAAATCTTTTGCAAAAGTGTTTGTTATCCAATTTGTTTGTAGTAGTACTCAGTCTAGCTGCTCATTCTACATTATTGCCTTTTGGTACTGTACAACTTGGTCCTTTTTATCCATGCTTTTACTTTTTAATAATGATTTAAATAAAGAATCCAGCATTAATGTATGGAGAATATTAGAAAATGCAATTCAATACAACCAGTAGCTTAAAAGAGTGACATTAAATAATTAACGGTACCATCTAGTCTAATTAACAGTACCAATGAACACCATTACTTAATCTTTAATTTTAATAACATAGCATTTAATACAATATCAAACTAACACCTGGCAGTACTTGGCAGGTGTTAGTTTGATATTGTATTAGGTAAAGAGCATGGCAACCATGATTAAATGTAAGACCATGGCAACACTAATGATTAAATAATTCATATTATTTACAGTTATGCGGGATCCTCAAATAATAAGTACATATGGGTGGCCTTATATGTATATATTTAATTCGTGTAAATGCCACCATTAGGTTTAATTTTGATTTATATGTTCCAAAGTTTTTAAATTTAATGTATTTAAAAAACTTTCTAAGCATTCTATTTTTGGAATACAATTGGTTTAAGAACCTGAAGCAGACCTTGGGTAAGGTTGAAAGCATTAGCTCAGTATTGTATTAAACACTGTGTTACCAGAATTAAAGGTTAAGTAATGGTGTTCATTAAATAATTCTCTCTTTTAATAAAAAATTTACAAATTTAGTTATAAAATAAAGTAATAAAATTTATGTTTAGTAGCATTTTTTTCATTTTATCCTCTAGTAATTTCTTTTTATGACTTTATAGCCTATTGTTTTGCTTAAAATTTTTTATGCACTAACTTAAAGTCTTCTTTTAAACAAATTGTTTTTCCTATTAAATATATTCCCTGATTATATAAATCCAATTAGTTCAGTAATTTCCTGGAACACAATAATTGCACAATATGGAATATTCTTGTATTCAATTAAATTCAAATCATCATCATATACTTAAACTTTAAATAAAATGCTAATTGAAATAAACTCCATTTTTTAGTACATTGTTTTTCTTTAAATCAATTAAGATATTTCAACTTACATCTAAATCTTCCCACTCAAATTCTGTCATACAGAATCCAGGCTCAGAAGTAGGAGTTTCAGCCCCAGATCCTTTTGGTTTTGTTACTGCCATTTCTGCATGACCTTTTCCATTAGGTCCTCTCATTCTGACAAATTCCAATCTTTGCTGTCCTTGATACCATCCCATTGAAACACGCTGTGCAACTCTAGTAGATAAACTAGCCTAGGAAATTTAAACAATAAAACTTAATAAATCCATTAACTAAGTAAAATCCTATTTAAACTCAAATTGTTTAATTTGAAATGTTATTTTGAAGTTCTGTTTAAAGAACTATTGAAATAACACTAATCTATAAAATTTTAAAAAATTTTAGTAACAGAGATGCAACACTGTAATTTACACTAATTTAATCATGTTGTTTCCAAACATGTCATTAGTTTTTCCACAATACACACAGTGTTCAAGTCACTATACACTCCACCACATAACATGAAAAGCTACATATAAGTGAAAGTAAATGCAGTGAAGAATTCACTAATAGTAGTTTATCAACTCAGATACATTGTCTTCTGACATTTCAATAGTCAGTTACTTTGCAAATTACTAGATAATGATGCAGAACAAGTCTCTCTGAGCATGCATCTACTTTTGTGAGATGTTGAATCTTCCTATTGCTGAAGGGCACAAGACTATTTTAAATAGTAAAGAAATTGTTCATTGCCATTTGATTGCAGTGAATTCACCACATATGTAATAAAATATATCTAGAAGTGAAACAAGTACATCATTGCTATTTTTTTTGTGGATGACATCTATGTCTAAGTTACTTCCTTCAGCCTGAGCTAGACATATGCATACTGAGATGCAAACTATTTAAAGTTCATACATACTTTGAAATCAATAATCATGTTGCCAATATGGGAGTTGAGAAAATCATCAGCAGCACTGATCAACACTGACACAGGGATATGTTACAAAAATATGCATATTTGGGTATCCCTTAATTAATGTGAGTCCCTCAATGCTACTTGCGTATATCAAAATTGTGTTAATCAAACACAGTGGTACCACAACACTCGACCAAACAATCACAACCCATTAGAACAAATTTTCAGTAAATAACAAATATTTTTATTTTGATTTTTTTGTACAACTTTAATGTACAACTTTTCAAAATATATAAATAAATTAAATATACAGTACATTATTATTTGTATAATCTTTCAACTCTATAGCAATTTCTAAGTTATTCTACCTAATGTAACAATGATGTCTCACTAAAGCAACAATTTTTTCAAATTTGCACTTCCATAGCAATAGAACATTCCTAAAACCAAGTTTCTGAAGCTTGAAAGCACTTAACTTTTTTACATTTTTGTATTTATTACCCCATTAAAAGCAATATTTTCTTCTTTACAAATCTCTCTCTGTGTGTGTGTAATTCTTTTATCTGAATTTTAACTATTATTATTATTGTTGTTGTTGTTATGTTGTAAATGTCATGCTCAGCTAATACTGCTGCCAAGTGCTATGCAGGACTAAAGTCAAAGCATAGCTATCCAAATAAGTAACATTAAGCTGTGTTATTGGTATGTGTGTCAACATCTAGAAACTTCCTAACAATGCAACATGTGTTCAATATTGCAGTTTTCTGAAGTGCCATGTATATGTTTTCATTAAGGTTTGATGTTTCTAGACTTTTGTGAAGTGTATGTGGTATGACAACAGGTACCTGTACAATAAATACTTTATCCAGCTTTTACATCTGTCTTATTTCTTGAGCGAGTGGAATGTACTCGATTTTTTCAGTGTGAGCAGTTTTTATGTTATGAATGTTTGGAACAAAGATGTCTGTCATATAAGTGATCTTACAATGAAAGTGATGTCAGGTCTATGGTGATGAATTGTTTTTTCTGTGATTATGGCTCTGTCATAGTATATTTTGTGTGTGTCATTTTCTAAAACTGCCTATGGAGTATATTTATAATATGGTACCTGAATGTTTAATAATCTGTGTCTGTGTGCAAGCTCTTAGTGCATTATATTTGCTTTGATTATGCCTATGTAAATAGTCTATTTGTGCTAATTAACATAACTAATATTAATATTTCTGAAATCCTAAATCTTTGTAAAAAAACGTGCTCTCTTCTGTGGATTCGATAATATCTCCACTTTTGAGTACAGAGTCTCCTTTCTTCAGAAGAGCTTGCAACCAGAAGTAAACTTAAGGAAATAGTTATGACCAGTATAGATAAAATTATTAACAACATTAAAGGTATAAAATTAGTAATGAGATATGCAGATGATTATTTAATAATTTTTTGATAGCAACTTAATAAGTGAAATAAATATATTTAACATTATAAATAACATAAATGAAGACATACAGTTCAATATTGAAATAGAAAATAACAAAAAATTAAATTATTTAGATATTACTATAGTTAATGAAATAAGCAAGTTTACCTTCTTAACATATAAGAAAACATGTAATGTAGACAAAACAATTACAATTCATATAACCAAGAAAATATAAAAAGAACACTTATATCATGGAATTAAAAAACATTTACATTAGAACATCAAATATAAATAAAAAAACAGCATTAAAAAGATTAGATGATAAATTTATATTAAATGATTACCCTAGATTAAAATTAATTAAATGACACAAATAATATTTGAAGAATAGATATAACATTAAATATAAAACAGGACAGAAATTATTATACCTTTCCTTATATACATAATATTTTTGAAAAATGCAATAAAAATCTTAAACAAAATAAAGTTAATTTGGCCCTATCTTTGACAAATAAAATATCACAAAACATATGTAACAGAATTAATAATCAGCATAACAACAAACCAAAATAATGACCTTAAGAGAGAAGGGACAGTATATAAAATAGAATGCAATTGTAATAACCCTAAAATGTATATAGGTAAAACTGGAAGAACATTAGAAAAAAAAATTAAAGAGCATGAAGCAGCAATATGCCTACAATATGATAATTCACTATGGTTTCAACATTCTAAAAGTAATAATTGTATAATAAAGAAAGCTAACATTAAAATATTACATAATGAAAAAGACACATATAAAAGAAAATTTAAAGAACATTGAAATTTTAAAACACCCTAGAGAAAATCTAATAAATATCTCAGATGGCATTGCCATAGATTCACAATGGTATCAGATAATAAAGGGCACTAGTGTGCATACAATATAATTAATAGTATGGAAGTAATGTTCACCAGTATTTATACTGGTGAACATTACAATAATACTTATAGTATACTTTTGGTCCTATATTATAATTGTTACAATAGAAAGTGCATCTTTCCTTTGGCTATATGTGTCTTTAATTGGAATTTGTGTGTTAATCACTGTTACACTTATACAATACTTCAGCTCTGCAAGCAAGCTGTTGTAACCAGTTAACCTTTACTTTTAAAGAATTAAAGAATAAAGAATTAAAACCTCAGTAATTTAAGACTGGATGTAATAACTATAAAGTAAGGATTATTATTAAAAAAAAATATATTGGGAGTTTATAATTATACAGTGTGGAAAAAAAACGCAATATTCTTATAATAAATAAATATTTTATTGAATTATATGTTGACCATTTTGGTCAACATATCGAGCTTTGAAACTAAACCAATTTGTGTCAAGTACTCATAAACAGTTCAATTTGACAAATTTAATCTCTTAGTGATTTCACGTGTTGTTATTCCGCAGTTTGCATCAATGGTTACTTTTATTTTGTTTTCATTGGCTTCAATTGGCCATCCATAACGTGGTGCATCTTCAATACTGAAATTGCCAGAATGAAATTTTGTAAACCAGTTTTGGCACTGTTGTTCTGTCAACATATCTCCACCATACATGTCACACGATTTTTTTCTTGCTTGAACAGCATTTTTATTTTTTTGGTAATAAAAACGTAAAATATGCCGAAGATGCTGATTTCGATCTTCCATATTTGATGGGACACACAAAATAAACAATTGCACGAAATCAAACAAAATTTTTTACAAATAAGCCATAAAATGCTAGCTGTCAAAATATATAATGATAATATGGTTTAGAATGAAAATGGAAGGGAAAATATGACTAATCCGTCTAGTGGAAAAAAAAACAAACTTACTTTCCGAACAACCCAATATATAAGGTTTATTATGTTTAAAGATATTGTGATATAGTTTATAATAGTTTTTTTACCCATTTATTAAAAATTTTTTAAAGGTTTTATAATGGTATTCATATAAGAATATTGCATGTGTACCAGAGTTTTAAAAATCGTTTCTCTCTTAGACATTGTAAGTAAATATAGATAATCAAAATGTAAAAGATTTTTTGTGATCATAATAGTGTCAAGTCTAGTAATCATTGTCTTTAATAGCACTGAAGAAGACCTGTGAATTTACAACAGCCTGAAATGCATATGATGTATACAGTAGACCCCCCTATAATGCTTAGATACGTTCCACGTTATTCGAATTTTACATTGTAGGAATCATTAAATACATGAGCCAATCACAGCCCGACACATGTGAAGTTTATGGACTAAGGCTGTTTGAAAAGTTTTCTTCCATAAAATTAACCGATTCTAGACTAATTCCACTCAACATTTCCAAAACACGTATAATTTTTTGAGAATAATCCGTATAAACTATGCTATAAACAAAAAATTGTAGGATTACTTACCGAGTGTGCACCGTTCGACTACGCTGTTGCTCAAGCTTGTTTTCATCACGGAACAGTCCACGAAACGGTGGCCGCGATTTCTGATAACAAATTTTTTGCAGAAAAATAACTTGACCTTTGGAGACATCATTAATATAAATAATTTTTATGGCCGNTTTTTTTTTTTTTTTTTTTTTTTTTTTTTTTTTTTTTTTTTTTTTTTTTTTTTTTTTTTTTTTTTTTTTTTTTTTTTTTTTTTTTTTTTTTTTTTTTTTTTTTTTTTTTTTTTTTTTTTTTTTTTTTTTTTTTTTTTTTTTTTTTTTTTTTTTTTTTTTTTTTTTTTTTTTTTTTTTTTTTTTTTTTTTTTTTTTTTTTTTTTTTTTTTTTTTTTTTTTTTTTTTTTTTTTTTTTTTTTTTTTTTTTTTTTTTTTTTTTTTTTTTTTTTTTTTTTTTTTTTTTTTTTTTTTTTTTTTTTTTTTTTTTTTTTTTTTTTTTTTTTTTTTTTTTTTTTTTTTTTTTTTTTTTTTTT